CAATTGGGATTTATCCAAGTGGGTATTATAAACCTAATTGGATAAAATTCCAATTGGAAAGTGCCAAAATCCCATTTTATCCCATTGGATATTGGCACTTTCCAATTGGGATTTATCCAATTGGATATTATAAACCCAATTGGGGGTAACATTCCAATTGGAAAGTGCCAAAATCCAATTTTATCCAATTGGATTTTGGCACTTTCCAATGGGAATTTTATCCAATTAGAATTTTATTCAATCGGACAACATAAAAGAGATGGACACCAATTGGAAAATGCCAGAACCAAATGAGGCTTCAAAGAGGTTGACAAACACTGCTGAATACTGAAAAAAACAAAAGAAAAAGAAACAATTGTTATTTGCATTTATTTTACTTATTTAAAATACAAAAATGAAATACTGCACAAAGACTGTTCGTTAAAAATATGCTATAATAATGTTATGGAATATAAAACTATTATTAACAAAACATATTTTAAATCTGGTTTCTGTTAGATATATACAGTCATACTTACAGTAATAATTATTATGTACTGGCACTTTAAGTTTCGCAGGTCAGCAATCTTCTTAACCATGCTGACAGTAACTTTGCAATTGTCTTAGTAGTTCTCTATAACTGCACCGGACATTCTGAAAAACAATAATATTATAAAGATGAATTTTAAAAGCTACTCAGCATGAGGAAAATTAATTTCATTTCACATGTCCTAGGACAAGTAGCTTAAAAAATTCAGTTGTCCTGAAGACATATACTTCCCAAAATGTACTCATTGGGAAGTATTTTAAGTGGTGCTAGCGAATGGCTAGAGTGAGGTACTACGCATATTTAAGTATCAAACTCACCCTTTTTTAATATTCTTTTCCTGGTCGACAGCTTGAAACGCACGCTTACATTTTTGGCGAACAAATTCATTTTTGGAGTGGTCGATATCAAAAACACAAATTGCAATTCCCATAGCCTTGACACTTGTTGGAAAGTTGAGGTTAACATTTTATGTTTAGTTTCAACAGAAAATACCTGACATCAGATACTTGCAGAGCCTTCGCTTCAAAATTCAGTTAATCTGTTAAAAACAATCAAAAACAATATAGGCCTAGAGATAAAAAGCAGTTTGATATAGTGATACTAATGATATAATAATAAATATTCATTAATTATCAACAATAATTAATTAAACAGTACTACTATTAGGCCTAGCATGCCTTTATCTAGGGCTAGGCCTAGACTCCTATAGGATGTCAGGAAAAATTTGGTCCGGGGCAAAAATCGGTCCAACGGACTGATTTTGGCCTCATAATTACTTGCCAAATGTAATCCACATAAGCCAAAATCTGTCCGCTGAAATTTACTTTGCTGCAGAGCAGACTTGGAAATATTACGTCCGCAATAGGTTTTGGCGGAAAGAACAATTCCTAAGCTTTTACAGACGCGCATATGCTTATATAGCCAATCACAATGATGTCCCTAGCTGAAGCCTTAATTTGCATACATCACCCTATATAAGAGTTTAAGATCGGCATGTACTTGTGTTGATAGGAGAGCCTTTCGCGGTTAGTGAACGTTGGAATAACAGGAAGGAAAGACTTCCTGTTATTCCAACGTACACGGACATATATTACCTCACATTGAGAGAAAATTTAATTTCATATTCATAAGTCATACCGCCTCCACACCTCATATATTTGGTAGAAAGAGAGGGTGGTTGGGAAAACGTCATGAAAGGGTTTTTTTCAAATTTAACATGTAGTAACATGTAGACTCCTATGGCGCTAGCCACAGCACAGTGGTTTCAAACCACCAATCACAATCACAATGATATCCATCGCTGAAGCCTGAATTTACAGACATCACCATATATAAGAGTTTAAGATCATGATGTACAGTACAGTTTTTTTATTTGGCTTTTGTTGATAGCAGAGGCTTCAAGGGTTTTTTTCAGTGACAAGACCAACTACCATATCCCTTTCTAAATCCACGCCTCATATATTTGGTAGAAAGAGAGAGAGGGTGGGTGAACGTGAAAGGGTTTTAGTCCCACGACCACTAATGATTACAGAGCCAAACCAAGGCAATATGTATACACAGCCCAGGTGTGAATGCAAATAGTGGAATACAAGCTATGTGGCTCGGTTCCAGTAGATACAGAGAATATTTTGTCATTCTTAACACGTCCTACGAAATTCTTTCGAGACAGCACTAGTCCGTGAATTTGTGAACAAGATCGGAGATCTAAAGATGCAATCTCTACCGTGCATCAGTGGCAGCCCACTGGATCTCAATAGAGATTCTTTCATATTATATAAATTTTAAAAGGAAAATGGGAAAAACCCATAAAACAGCGAACGGCCACATAATGCAAAACTATTTAAAATTAAAACGGAACAGTAGAGAAAATCCGATCAGAATGACAAAATAAACTGAGCATCCACTGGAAGGAATCCCAATATCTGCAGACGGATCCGTTTCGGCCTTTATATATATATATAATACAGTATATAGGTTTTGTGGTTGGAGTATGTGTGCTGGCAGAGTACCGTAGTGTAGTTAGTATTGAGTTTTAAGAGTGAGCAGTGGTATTAATAAATAGTGTATTTTATATTGGTTTCAAGATTGGACTTCACCCATCACCTTTATTTTCATTGGTCGTTCAATTTCTAATTTCCCACCAAAAGATTTTCCCCTCAAAATCTATGCGGACCGATAGGTAAGCACTCACTGTGGTGTAATTGGTTGTGTACGAACTCGTATAGGTGTAGGCGGATCGATTTAGGCTAAGCCAAAATTTGTCCAGGCCGGACCAATATTATCCAAGGAGGACTGATTTTGGCCGGCCAAAATCAGTACCCCGGACAAATTTTAGCCCGGACTAATTTTGGCGTGACAGGCCTATCAACCTTAAACTTATCAAATCTTATAATGACTATGGTGCTACACAATCAGCCTGAAATTTACTTGACCTCTATATCTTTCTACATGTTACTTATAAATGATTCTGAATAAAATGAAATAAAATATACCTATTTGATTTTGTCATTTCATGACATACCATTAAAGGCAAATCAATGACATCATGAAATCATATTTATCAAACAATATATTTAATAGTTACGGTAGAAGCGGTTGGCGCATCGGTTGTGGCTTAGACGTAGGCCTACTCCAAACCTTGAGGTCAGG